TTCAGGATGTACATTAGTTGAGAAAAAAGTTGATTGGAAATTCAGTGGAAGATAAGGACTCTTGAAGATTTTTTTTTTTTTGGTAAATTTGCCCTAAGATGATATTAATAAAAAGGTGACAAGAGTGTCTTCAGTTCTTAAGAATGGATTCTTATAACACTCCCCTTCATTTTCTAGAAAGGTGCTTGGCATCTGGTGTCGAGTGGCATCTTCTGGCTCAAATATGGTCATTGGCGAGTCCCTCAGCCACAGCCTTCTCAGAACGCAGCTGAAGGCGGCCCTTTCCGTCCAGGTGGCCAGCCCACCTTCTTCCTCCGCCCTACCCACCGGCTCCCCCACGTTTTGTCGACGCCACCGCTTAGCTTAGCTGGTCTCCAGGCTGAGCGCGATGCCCCTGCCCGGACTTCAGCGTTGACTTGCCCCGCGCCAGCACCCTCTGTCTGTGAAACCTCAGGTCCGCGGCAGAAAGATGCAGGCGCCCGGAGCCTGGCGGAAGGGAGGGGACCCGCCAGAGAGAAATAAAGAGATCCCGAGGGTGTGTGTGTGTGTGTGTGTGTGTGTGTGAGTGTGTGTGTGTGTGTGTGAGAGAGAGAGAGACAGAGACAGAGACAGAAGGACAGAGAGAAACAGAACAATGAGACTGAGACAGTGAGGGAGAGAGGGTGAGAGAGATAAGAGAATAAATGAGAAATGAGAAACGAGGTTTGCACACAAAATAAACGAGTTTCCTCTTTCAGAATGAAAAGAGAGAAGTTAGAGGGACACACAGAGAGAGACCAGACGTGGGAGGACACACACAAGGGAGGATAGGCTCTCCAAACCCACAGCCCAGCCCTGTCCTCCAATCTGAGTTCCCTCGCAGTGCTGTCTCTCAGTGCTGGTCTTCGTCTCCTTTCCCCGCCCCTGGGACAATGCGGAGCCTGTATTTTCAGGAGCCGCGCGGGGCGGCAGGGTTTTTAGCAGCAAGCCGGGCTAGCAGCCCGCTCTGTTTGTCCAGGTGTGGGCGGGGGGCGCCGGTCTCCTGGCGTCTTGGGCTGGCGCTGGATTTTCTCACCAAGGAAGTGGGAGGCTCTCCTCGCAGCTTCCCGCTTCCAGGAGAAAACTGCCTCTTTCCATACATACATAAATATATTAGGGGAACAGACAAATCTTCATTGTTCAGAAATAAGCTGCGGAGGCCGGCCGGCTCCCCTTGGCCCTGCCGAACGAGGTTGGAAAGGAGGGAGGGAGAGAGGCGGGGGCCGCGCGGATCCGGTGTCACGTTGCAGATTCCCACTAAAGATAACGAAACGCGATCTATTTTTCAGAACAGCAAGTGGATGGGAAAGAGCCTTGACAACACAAAACTCATTTACTAATGGACTGGTTTTGAGTTTCTCTTCTCGGGGTCCGCAAATCTCCCTGCCTGAGTCCTCGGCCTATTCAGACCTCGCCGGGAGCACGGTCCCCCAGGAGGCAGGGGGGCGGCTGCTCCGGCGCCGTGCTGGCCGTCGCAGCCCGGGATCCCAAGGGTCGAGGGCACCCGGCGTTTCCAACCAAGCAGAGGAAAAAGGTGAATGTTGTCACTGCAGCCAGGATTTGGGGAGTCTCCGCACTGCCCCAGAACGACGACGCTAATTTATTGAAGGAACACCTCCCGATGCTCTTCCCTTCCAAATATCTGTAGGTAGAGTAAGATCCCCGCTGTAGTTCTTGATGGCGAAGGAATGCCAAGAAAGCGGGCCGGGAGCCCCAAAGCATCTCTCTCCAAGCCAGAAGGGAAGCAAGTGGGTTCCACACAGAGGTTTTTAAACCAAGGCCTTATATATCGACCCAGCCGAGAAACCCCACCAGCAGCTAGTGCATTGGCCTTTTCCAGAAACCGGTTGTGCGCACCCGGCGGTTACCTGCACTGAGGAGGCACAGAAGAGCCGAAACCAGGCGTCGGGCGACGGTCGCCAGCCGCGTTACCCTCGGGAGCCGCCGAGAAGCAGCAAGGGCAGCAGCTATAGTTGCTCGTTCCCTTTAAATCTCCGACGCATCTCTGTTTTTCGTGTGATTTGCATTGACAGCAAAGGTTTTAAGTTACTAGAACAACTCAAACCTTTCTGTGTGCGATTTAAAATGGATCATTTGGTTTATGTGGTTTGTAAATTCATGTCATTTTACCTCTTTTAGTGGTTTTCACTGAAAGGCTCCATTTTGGGAAACCTTATATATCCGAGCCAACAATTAACATTTATAACAATTGGTTTCCCTAACCAAGGAATCGAAATAGTAGGTAGGCTCATTGGTACAATGCGAATAGCACCTCTCCTTTCTAGTCCCGCGATCTATTGGATTAAACGCAAGGAGAAAGGCTGGTGGGCCCGGGCCCGGCCTCTGAGGACTAGCACCACAGCTCATCATCGCGGTGCCGCAATCGCGGCACCCACGCGGTCATCTCCCCAGTTGTCGCCAACGTCTCTCACGTCCTTGCTCCTTTTGAAGAAAGATGAAAAGAAGTGGGCAGAGAGGTCTGAGGAAGCAGAAAAAAAGGTGGTCATATTGGTGTCTAATTGCCATCTTTCTGCTCCTCGTCATCCCCTGTAAATTTATACCTGCCCTTATTTGTCCAAGCTACGCCTCATTTCCTTATACAAAATTGTTAATTATAAAGTACACCCCATACTCAACTTACCGTTTGTCTTTTAAGAGACGTGGCTGGACTTACAGACCCTCCACCCCCTACACACACATTTTAATTCTGCGCACTTGCTCCAGACTTGAGGGTATTAACTGATTTTTAGAGCGGAGTTTAAGCTTCCGTTCTGGTCCTCATACAGCTGCCATGTCAATAAGGACTATTCCAAGAAGAGACGTTCCTTCTGGCAGGACACTGCAGCCCCTTAAGACTTCATCTGAAACACCATGAGCACTAAAATAAGACGGCGAGGGAAAATTACCAGACACATGGGCTTGGGCTCAGCCGTGCCAGGCTTCCAGTTTAGAAAGTAAGTCATTGGGCACACCATATGGTAGGGGCCCTTTTGAAATAATACGCACGAAGAAGAAGGAGAAGGAGAAGGAGAAGAAGGAGAAGAAGAAAGAAAAAAGAAAAGAAAAATAAGAAAGAAAAGAAATATTATGCACCCATTACATGGATTTTTAAAAAAAATAACTCTAAAGGTAATGAAATATCAGCATCTATTTCCAAGGTCTAATTGCATGGGATACTGCAGAATTTTAAGGATGCAAAAATGCATTGTGTGGGAGTTCAGGGGAGAAGCAGCTTCTCTCTACTTGGTACCTCTGGAGAGACAGCCAGGACAGAAGGGTGAAACCCTTCATGAGTTTAAAATGTACATTGCAGGGTGCACTGAACTGGGCACATTATTTTGAAACCATATAAATAATACCAGGGGAAACTTATGCAGTGCTCCTTCTCCCACTTATGTCTTAATACATAAATGGTTCTGTGGAGCTGGGCTCTGGCTAATGTAATCAAAACATATTTGAAGAAGACAAGCAAGTTTAAAGAGCCTAGAGTTTGTTCTTCACATTCACTAAGAGGGTGCATTTAAATCAAAAGCATTTTTGAAGTGTACTTAAAATTCTGTTTTGAACTTATCTAATCAGAGATAAGTATAGTTATAAAGTCACTCTCCTTCTACCATTCTGCTCCCCTTATCTTCCCGCATTGTTCTTATCTGCTGCCAGTCTCAGCTACTGACAATAGATTATCTTTGTTTAGAGACACTAATTGTTTTCAAAATCTTTTTAATAATTGCTTTGGAACAAGGTGTGCAAATGAGGCTTAAGATAATTACAGCTTCATTTGTTTGTACAGTTTTACTAAACATTCTCCACATATACACAAAATAACAGATGGTGGGACTGAAATTGCAGGACATCTCTCATTCCCTGGCTGTAAAATAGGCCTGCGTTGCAACCTACACACACACACACACACACACACACACACACACACACACACACCCCTCTTTATTTAATCTTCTTGGAGCCGCTGTCGTCCTGGCTTTGAGGGCAGTGTCCCTCTCAGAGCAGGGCAAGGATTAGGTTACAATCAGATGGCTATTGGAGCCGGACACAGTTTTATTTAATTTACACCCCATCCAGCGCCTTTCGTTCGAGGTTCCCAAAGCATTTTTGCTAATAGCAAGTAAAGCTTCTCGGCATTCCTCAGTAGCAGAGGAATGGAAAACGCAAACGCGCCGATGGGGAAACTGAGTCCAGAAAGCTGCCCGCTTAAACCACAGAACGTTAAGATACCAAATCACAAATGAACCCTCAGAATCTTTATTTGCTCAGCAACAATGCTCTAAACAGCTCTTCGCATGGTCCCAAATAGTCGTGGCCTCTTGAAAATGAGGGAAGCGCTATCCAGCTGGGAATACTTGTGCCCTATGGAGGGCGGTGGGGGCGAAGGAAGAACGGCGGAGGAAATTAGGCTCCTAGAGTTGAAGTCAGCCGGGGAGAAGCCACTCTTCCAGAGGCTGCAGCCCGGAGCCCAGTTCTGATCTTGTATTATTTATCGCGTTCCCTAAGCTATTCATCAATCCATTATTTATTCATTCCAACATTAAGGTAATTAAATATGAGCTCACCGGCAAAGGGCAAGTCTGCAAGGGACAGGGACAGGGGTACGGAGGAAGAGGAGAGGAATTATAAGGTCTGGAGTCATTGATTTGTGCAGAGATGTGCACGGCTGCCCTTAGGTGACACTGGAGAGGGGGCTCACGTTGCAGGGTCCTGACGCGCTCACCCACTCACACCCCCCGCCCCCGGGCAGCGCGGCTCCCTCCTCCCCCGTCTCACCCTTCTTCCCACCTCTCCGGGTCCTTCTCCTCCCACCACTCCCTATCCCGGGCTCCACTGCCGCGCCCTCCCCGCGCGGGGCGGCGCGGCCTCGCTGCCTGGCCCGGCGGCGCGCGGGCTGGCCAGCCCCGGATAGGCGCCGCCCGCAGCCAATCAGCGCGCCGGGGGACGCTGCGCGCTTTAAGGCCGCTGCGGGGAGAACAGAAACCAAGTTCCCCGGCAACGAGCAGCATCAACCCGGCGGGAGGCGGGAGGCCGGAGCCAGAGAGGCCCAAAAGGCTGCGGAGTGAGCCGGCCGCTCGGTGTCCAGCGCCCCGCCCCCCCCCTCGTCCTTCTTCCTCGGCCGCCCAGCCCTAAATTTCGACCAGCTTTTTCGCCTACGGAAATCCTAGGGAGGGGGTTAGGAGCAGCTGCGCCCCCCTCCCTGCGGCTGCCGCCCCCTGCTTTTTCGGCGCTGCTCCCTGCCGCGTGCGCCCGGGCAGTGCACCTCGGCAGGCCCCAGCCATGTCGATGCTGCCGTCGTTCGGCTTCACGCAGGAGCAAGTGGCGTGCGTGTGCGAAGTTCTGCAGCAAGGCGGGAACCTGGAGCGTCTGGGCAGGTTCCTGTGGTCGCTCCCCGCCTGCGACCACCTGCACAAGAACGAAAGCGTGCTCAAGGCCAAGGCCGTGGTTGCCTTCCACCGCGGGAACTTCCGCGAGCTCTACAAGATCCTGGAGAGCCACCAGTTCTCGCCTCACAACCATCCCAAGCTGCAGCAACTGTGGCTGAAGGCGCACTACGTGGAGGCCGAGAAGCTGCGCGGCCGGCCGCTGGGCGCGGTGGGCAAATATCGAGTGCGCCGAAAATTCCCGCTGCCGCGCACCATCTGGGACGGCGAGGAGACCAGCTACTGCTTCAAGGAGAAGTCACGGGGCGTGCTGCGCGAGTGGTACGCGCACAACCCATACCCCTCGCCTCGTGAGAAGCGGGAGCTGGCCGAGGCCACCGGGCTCACCACCACCCAGGTCAGCAACTGGTTTAAGAACCGGAGGCAAAGAGACCGGGCCGCGGAGGCCAAGGAAAGGTACGCGGCGTGCTTCCCGCTGCTCGGGCGACCCCGGGAAGCCTTCCTTTCCCCTCCGCCCCTTCTCGCCCCTGCTGGCACCCGCCACCGCGTCCTCCCGGCCGGCTGGAGCCCGTCCGCGGGGCGGCGCCCAGGCCTCCGCGGTACTGCAGCGAAAGTTCATGAACTCTGAGATCGCTTGCTAGGGATGGGGAGTCATTTGATTTGAGCGCCCGCGCGTGGGCTTCTTGGGGGTGTGAGTGTCAGGAAATATTGGCGCTAGGTTTGTTTTTCATGCCTCCCTGGTTGGCTGGGGCGACGAGTGGGGGTGGGGGGTGCGGAGTGCGTTTCGAGATCCACTACAGGGGAAGTGTTGATTGGTGTCTCCAGGAAAGGGGTTCGGTGGGGGCTGAGGGTAGCGAACCTCTCTGCTCCTGCTCCCCAGAGGGGTGGAGCTGGCCTGAGACATCTGCTCTGTCCCCACTCCCGCCGCGTTCCGTACTCGCTCTCTCCTGGTAGGCTTTTTGGGCGAGAGGTCGCCGCTTCATTCCGTACTAGCTGTACAAAGGGAGGAGACTTTAAAAAGAAATCCACAGAAAAGAGGGCTTTGGAAGAGTTGGCGCTTCATTATCTGGCGCCTGCTCCTCTCGGGGCTGCCTCGCGCGTGTCGCGCTGCCTCGGCGGGTGCATCTGGCGGTCCGCGCCGCCGGCCCGGATGAGGAAGGGGTCCCCAGTCGCAGACTTCTCTCTGGAGCTCAGAAGGCAATCTTATTTTAACCTGTCTCCGCCTCCGCCCTCCTCGCGCGAACACCCCGGTCCACCTGGCCCCGCTCCATCCGTTTGCTGTGCAGTTTCCGGACGAGGTTCGGAAGAGCGCGGGGAGGCGGCGGCGGCGGCGGCGAGGGCGCTCCGGGAAGCCGAGGAGTTTTGGGGAAACCTAAGCGCCCGGGAGGGCTGGGTTTCCTTTGTTCGCTTCCGAGCCTGGGGGCCGCACATGTCGCCTCTGCGTTCCCCTCTGGGTGGAAAAGCGTGGAGCCTGGATCCTCTCGGCTGCAGTGGCTTTTCTGGGCGAGAGACTGGGAGGGCCGGGGAGAGAAAGAGGGAGCCAGGCAGGCGCTGGGGCCGAGGAGGATGGGCCTGAAGGCGGAAGCGGTCAGGGCTTCGAAATGCTGAAGTTTACCAGCACCGAGCATCCGGACCGACGCCCGGGCATGCCGCACCGGCTCTCGGGCGGAGCGGGGTCTCGAAGTTTCCTCTGCGGGGAAACGGTGCGCTGCTGTGGGTGTCCGACAGGGGGTTTGAGAGGGGGGCTCTGAGGGACTCAGGACTGGGCGACTAACACGGGGCCAGGGACAATACGGTTCCAGTTAGATTTTAGTTACAAAACGGTCGTCCTGTAAGCCAGGCCCGAGGGCCCACTCCCTGCTGAAATCGGCTTCGCTCCCTGTGTTTACTCAGGTCACTGGGCTGCTCCGGACACCACTTCCCATGACCTGTCCTGTGCTTCTGAAACCGCAACCTCCGGGCAGGGCCAGGGAAACTCGACGTTTAATTGTTTCCTCAGATGGGAACAGGGCAATTGACTTGATTCACCCTAGACATCTGCGCGTGGGGCTCTGTTGGTCCTCTGATCATTTTCTTTATCACCAACAACTATTTGTTGGAAGACTTTCAAACTTAATTACTTCTAAATGTGGTGCTGGTTGAGAGGTATTTAAAAATAACTGCTTGAACAAAATTTTTAAAGTAATTTCTGTGTTTCACATAAGTCCTACTGATCTGGCTTTCTAAAATCTGGAAGAGGAAAGGACCTGGCTCCCCACAAGCTCTGTCCGTAGTTCCCCATTTCTCCAGACTCCTCTGCCTCCTTACTTCCCCCAGGACCCTTGGGAATGGGTGGGAGGGCACAGCTCCTCCATTCGGGTATATGACTGATTGCACAATGGCCCTTTCCTTCTTCCAGCTCCCCTCCTTCCACTCACACTTTTTTTAACCTACTTTTTTTTTTTTTTTTTAACCATATGGTGTTGTCCTCTATTTCTTAGGGAGAACACCGAAAACAATAACTCCTCCTCCAACAAGCAGAATCAACTCTCTCCTCTGGAAGGGGGCAAGCCGCTCATGTCCAGCTCAGAAGAAGAATTCTCACCTCCCCAAAGTCCAGACCAGAACTCGGTACTTCTGCTGCAGGGCAATATGGGCCACGCCAGGAGCTCAAACTATTCTCTCCCTGGCTTAACCTCCTCGCAGCCCAGCCACAGCCTGCAAGCCCACCAACATCAGCTCCAGGACTCCCTGCTGGGCCCCCTCACCTCCAGTCTGGTGGACTTGGGGTCTTAAGTGGGGAGGGGCTGGGCCTGGAAGCAGTGACTAGGGACACCTGTAAATAGAAATCAGGAACATTTTTGCAGCTTGTTTCTGGGGTTCTCTGCATATAAAGGAATGGTGAACTTTCACAAATATCTTTTTAAAACTCAAAACCAACAGCAATCTCAAGCTTAGTTGCCTTCTTCTTCTCTCCGACTCTTGCATTTCCCATCCCAGTGCAGAGATCAGGAAAAAAAAAAAAAAACCCAAACAAACAAAAGCACCCAGTCACCCAGTCTTGGTTCTGGGCAATCCATGTGCCAGCTTCAGTAGCCTTTCTTTTTTTTTCAGTGAATGGGAATTACAAATCAACTGGATTTTAAATATTTCCTTTTAATTTATTTATGGAAAAGTCTTTTGGGGAAGAGGAAAAGGAAATGAAGAAAGAGAGAGAGAAGTCAAAATTGTGAAAATAAGAGCCTCCAGCCAGGAGGAACTGGTGGCATTCTTAAGGTGAATAGAAAAAATATGATCTTATAACTTTCTGATGGGGAAAATTAAGTTTACATTTTTCATTATTTAGTGTTAAACACTTTTATGTAGATTAAAATGAAAGAACAGTATTAGGGGGAAAAAAAAGTGCCTAAACGTCTTAATGCTCTCTGTGTAAGGCAGTTAGAAATAGCAGTGACCATTAGTAATACAACTATTTTTGTCAAATTTAGTGGGGTTTTTGGTTGTTGTTTGTTTTCTTGGGTTTTTTTAATGGCAAACTTTAAAAATGTACCAATGTGAAAAAAACACTTTCCTGAATGCCATTACTTCTCATGCCCTTGAAGCTTTCATATCTGTAGCCTACTCCTGTTAAGGGTTTCTTTTGTTTCTAGTTTCTAGCCTGCAAAAATATACGACAAATCTGGCAACCTGGTATTTGTTACTAAAACAGCATGTGTTTTCAGGTTTCTTTTCTATTGTACCTAAACCAGTCTAAATTAAAACTTAGTAGAACACCAGGAGTATGATTCTGTTTCTGAAAGGTGAGTTGTGTATTGCTGTCATTGGCCTCCCCCTCTTTTTTTTTTGAAGTTTTCTTGCTTTCTTACTTAATGGTGGTTGTGAATTGCAGGGTACTTTGAAGGCCACCACCTGAGCCAGGAGTGGTGACTGAGTTGATTATGTGACAGAAAAAGAGTGAAATTAGCTTTGGGGTATTTATTTTTTTATTATTTAGGTATGAAGTTTTGTTTACCACTAGCTCTTCTCCACAGCGTTCATATGTTAACTCCCGCTCTTTTGTATTAATGGGTTTATGACAAGACTGTGAAAGTAAAATAATTTATCTGCTTGGAAAGAAAAGGGGGGGGGCACTTGAACAAGGATAACAACATTGTGAATTAATCTGTATAAATAGAAAGCAGACCAGTAGGACCAGAGCTCTTTGCGCTGCTGCCGGATAGTGTCCAGAAAAATCCCAGTAATCATGTAGGCTCCATATTATTTTTGCCTGGGGCAAAAATGATGTATCTTTGTATTTAGCTTTTAAAATTAGTGAAACAAATGGCATTATTTATTAAAATTCTACTCAGGATAACAGGACTGGCTTGCTTGTGCTTTGTAAAAATATTGCTCCCCAGAGAGAGTCTATTTATTTTCTGACATGACAGTTTCATAATTTTGATTTTTCCTCATCCGTGTCACTATTAATATATTCATTTTTTTCTTACTCTTTCCTATCTTTCCTGTCCTGATCTAGGAGATTGAGGTGTGTGTATGGGGTGGGGAGTGGAATTTAGGCCTTATTATGAGTTGGTTTTTTTTTTTTTTTTAAATGTCAAATAGCTTTGACTGAGTTCAAAGGAGAAAGGATCACTGTACTTAACTGTAGTCACTTTTACTTATAAAGTCATTTTTTCCCCCTCAGTGATGGACAGATGTGCACACAGCCGCTGGGAGACCATCATTTGGATTGGGAGCTCAGGGTCCCAATCTCCCTTGTTAGTGTTTTGGATCATTAAGTTGGTGTTTATTTAAGTCACGAGGGTGTTTATTCTCCATGTCTTGGGCCACGGAGAAATGCCACCCTCTGCAGGAGGGGCTCTCACAGGGGATCTCCGCACATTCTTCACATTCACTCCCCAAAACAAACACCCTGCACAAAGATAGCTTTCAATGACCCTGACAGGCTTCAAAGGACACCGCGGAAATCTCCCTGGAAAATAAGGAAGGGCCAATTACTTTAATTTCTTACATGCCCTCTCTTCCTACTCCGCTGACTACCCCCCACTCTTCCAGCTCCGCTTGGAATAATTTTAGACTCGTGGAAGGTCTGTTTCCCTGGGCGCCGGGGCCCACTTCCTGCTCCCTCAGTTGGTGAATCTTGGAAAGAAAGGTCTGCAGATCTGGCGAGGAGCAGAGCGGGCCAGTCCTGTAAAAACCCCTGTGATTACTGCTTGTAAACTCGTTAAAAGGACAATTTTCTGTCGCAGTCATAAACTCTTTGTAAAATCCCTGGCACTCGATTCAGAGTGTGCATATTCCAGATGTGTTTAATAAGAAATTGCACAATATGCCTTCCTCCGCCATCCCCGGCTCAGTCTGGCTGAACTAGGGACAAGCAGGAGGAGGCGAGAAAGCTGGATATTCCTGTGAGTTTTCTTGGCAATCTTAGAGCGATCATTGGGGGGAACTAACCACATTTTTTTTTCCTTGAGGAAATCTTCGAGGACCAGCTGTTAAGGGACCTCCAATTTATCTTCTCGGCGCCGCAGTTTAACTGAATCAAAAGCCACTTTTCGTTTCTCCTCTGCAGGTTTCTTAATGATAGCCAAAGTAATGAACAACGGCTTATAAATAGTGTTTTTAGGACGAAACCTTACAGCCTTTTGCCAAGTAAAATGAAAAAAAACAAAACAACACAACAACAACACAAACAAACCACACAAATATTAGGGCGATTTCTTTTCCCTGACGTTTTAAATCTGAACACACAATTGTTCGGGTCCCAGCTGCCTGCTCGCCTTGACCTCTTGGCTGAGAACGAAGCTTCCTAAGTATTCGGAGGCAAAGGGACGTGGCCGGCGGTTAGCTCTCAAAGCCCCACGAGCTGCAGGCAAGGAGACTGGCGCCGTCGGGGCCGGGCGCTGCGGGTCTTGAACCAATTCTGCAGGCAAGGACAGCTTGGTCTTGACCCCGAGCTCAAGTGGAAACTTCCAGGAAGAGGCTTTGGCTTTGGCGTTTATGGGCAAACTCTGTTTGCTGAGCGGTGACCCTCGTGAACGCCCCTCTGCCCCGCACCTTGACGGCCAGTCGGGCACCTGGCACTGAACCCACGCAGAGCCGCGGTTGCTCTGCTCGGCCGCCGCTGCCGCCGCGACTCCCGCAGCGGCTGCGGCTGAAGGGGGCTACATTCCTACCGCCTCCCCCACCTGGAGGCCTTTGGTAACGTCTGCAGGCAGAACTTCCAGGTCCTGGGAATCCAGAAGCGTCCATGCCGTGCCACTCGGGCTGCAGAGAACTGGGGGAGCTCCTCCCGCCACCCGCAGACTCCAGAGGCAGTTCCTTGCCACTCTCTGCCCTCCCGAGGCGCGGGGAGTCCGGGCGCCGCAGCTCTCTCCTCCCGGCCCTGGCGGGGCCTCTTCTCCACCGGTTCACAGACAATCGCGCCCGGGTCCCGCATCCCAGCTCAGCTCCAGCGGCCTGGTGGGCCGGCCCGCGGAGACCTTGAGTACAGAGGCTGCGAGGCTGTCCCCGAGGGGCAGACACCCAGGCGGGAGCCTGAGCTTCGCGGGACAAGGAGCAGCCGTCGTCTTGTGTACCCCGGAGCCACCTCTCCGGCCCAAGTCCCGGTCTCCCGCTTTGAGTCGTGGAGCCGAGCTAAATTCTGGGCGAGGCGCGTGGGTGGCCGCCGACGCACTGCTGCGGGGTTGGAGCAGGCCGGGCGGCGGCAGGGTCAGGCAGTCCTGGCCCCGGGCTGCGCCGGGCCGGGCCGCACGTGTGCACGCTCTCGGGTTCTCCGACACCGCGCTCTGGGTCCAGGGCAGCGGCCTCGGGCCGCAGAGCCTAGTCGGGAGGCGGCCTAGGCCCCGCCGCTGTTCCCTACTGCCCTTCCTGCTTCAGCTGTGCCCCGTCTCCTTTGCTTCCCGGGGCCTCGGCCTCGGCTTTCGGATCTGTGCTTCTCACCCGCGCCCTTGGCAGAGGAGTGCCAGCCAGAGAGGGCGTCTCTCCCCCCGCCCGTCGCTAGAGCGTCGTCGGTCGAGGAGAGCGGCCCTGGTATCTAGACTCCCCTTCTGCGGCGGGGGGACGTTTTCCCCTGGGCCGGTGGCCCTGGGCCGGGCAGCAGCCTCTTCTCCAGGCATGGCCCGCGGCCCCAGCAGGGAAGGCACCAGCCGAGGCCTGCGGGGCGCTTCGGGCCGCCGGGCTATCGCCGCGCGCATTCTGCCCTTCCCTGGTGGGGTAGGTGGCGTTGACAGGGACAGCGGGATCAGGGTAAGGTGAGGAGAGTCGTTGGTGGCCCACGTGCTCTCTCTGAGCTGTTTCCCCTTTTTCTGAGCTTTCCCCAGGAGAGGAACACTAACACTCTCCCCAGCTACCTTCTCCAGCCGCCGGAAGCCAGCGGAACCAGTGCCTGTGCCCATTTCGCCCCCAAAGGGCAATCCGCACGGAGGCTGCCCGAGGGCTCGGGCCCTTAGCCAGCAGGTCTGCTCTGCGACCTTAGGTGGGAACTTCTGAGCCCCTCGAGATCACAGTGACCCCTCCCCCAGTCTGATTGACTCCAGTAGCTCCACCTGGAAGGTTCTCTAAAGAGACTGAGGAGCCAGCCAGGAACAAAAAGTCAAAATCTTGGGCGAATTGTTGGCTTACTGTCCACCCAGAAAAAGCGCTGCCCTGGGAAGGCCGCGTTTTCTCTAATGTTTTAAGCCGAGTATACACACACAATTTCGTTCCAGCTGATGAAATTGGAAACCTGTCCTCCCACTGAGGATGACAATCAGTGTTTTAGACGCTGTGGTACTTTCAGACAGCGAAAAACAACACTACAGTAGCATTTAAAAACAAAGAGAAGGAGACTGCTTGAGGCGCGTGGACGCCGAGCTCTCCAGTTTGAGTTTCAGCTTCTCTCCTTTTAACTTGTTAATGGACAGCTGAGACCCTATTCTCAGCAGGTAGAGCACAACCAACCAGAAGTTGCTCCCCTCTTTTTCTTTGCTGCATGGGAGTCTTTTGTTCTCCCTCTCCTTTTGGGAAAATGCTCATTTATTGTTTTCCTTTGCCATAACGTTAAAATATTCTTAAAATCACTTTTTTCTTCTGGATCCAACAGGAAAATGTAGAAAGAAAAACAAAGCCAAAAAACTGAAAACCAAACCTCCAACAATCATCATTGAGAGAAAAAAAGGTTAACTTCAGATTTAACACACGCTTAAGCTTACCTGAAGTGGCTACCCACTTGTAATTAAAATACTACAAGGTGATACTGATTGCTCTCCTTCACTGTCATTAGTGGCTGTCATGAAAAGGACAGGTAAGTAGAAAGATAGATGCTGGCCCTTTACTTTAGTAAGGAGGCATGGAAATGCATACTAGCTCCCTCCATCTGGTCCCCTGGTCTTCCTACTCCAAATTAGAGATAAATCTTTTATATGACTGACATAGGCAGACCCAAATAGAAGCACTCATGAATTAACACAAGTCAAGTTTATTTCAACTTACTATATAATTTATTTTAATTTAGGATTTAAAATTGATTATGACTTAAAATATCATGGTTTATTTATAATAGATACATGGGTTTTTTGGGGGAGTGGTGGTTCAGGACCTGAGCTGATATGGATGTGGGATCTTAAAGGAAAGAACAGCCCTAGACAACATATTTTTACTAAACATAGGGCATTAAACTGTTTTAGGATTCTTAAAGAACATTGAAACCTTTAACATTTCATAGAGCTGGTCAGTCAGCACCCCTAATACAAAATCTGCAGGTTCTTGTCAGCAAGCCTGCAAAACCAACTTTCTAGGTGTTCTTTACTTATATTAAGTGTTTTTTTTTGTTTTGTTTTTTACAAACTCAACTACTCTCTTTTGCTCCCCTACCCCAGGCATGACTTCAGCTGCTTTGCAACACTTCAATTCTAATTTGAGTTGCCACTTATCCAAATAATCTAAATACCAGGAAAAGGCAATGGGACTGTGAAAAAACAAAACAAAACAAAACAAACCCACATAGCTGTGACATCTTTAGTTAGCTCTCACAGAGATATTATATTTAAACTGGAAGCATCAGTATGCAGTAATGCTCCCTTAACTTTTGCAGTTTTTATGTGGTGGGGGGGGATAGTTGTGGGGACTGATGTGGTTGGTGGAGGGGAGCAAACACTTACAGTGCTTGTACAGAAAATGCCCATTTTTGAGGAGGAGGTGGCATAGTCTGCAACACCTTGCAAAAGGCAACTTTACCTCTAAGTCAAGGGGATAGTTACATGGAAGAAGCATTAGCTCTGTATTTATTTAGAATGCCGTGAATGTGAAAGTAGGTAACAAGCTTAAAAAAATTAAGCCAGATAGAAAGTCAATGTGCCTTAGTATCTACGAAGT